AAAGCGACTTAGGGGTCATCCATAAATGACGGCAAGCTTTTTTTGGACGATTTTACCCCCACCCCATCCGTCGCACGTCGTCATAAAAAGCCAGATCTCCCATAAAATGACGTTACGCCTCAGCCTACAACCCCCTCCCGCGCCCCTCAAAATTGCTGTTGAATTTTTTGTAAAAGATCGATATTTTTCCAAAATCTTGTCACAACTCTTTCAACACAGAGTATTTTATTAAATCTTATTACAATTTATTAAACCGTTTTCTAAAACACTAAATAATGGCTAAAATTCGTTTTCTACAATTGCTTTTCTATAATTAAAAAAAGTGACGTCACACCATCTGAACCCCCTCCCCCCATCACACAGCGTCACAAAGTTACGGACCCCCTCTGTTGCGTCCGAGTTTAGTTTGACTCAGGAAACGATTCGTGGTTAACTTTAATACTTTTATTTGGACTCATTTCTTCACATAACATAGTAGCCCTCACCCTAACAGCTACCAACTAATACCTTACAACCGTTCACTCCAGCTTTTATACCGCACTAGCCGTCCCGGCCAGGCCCTGCTCTGGCTTCTGTGAAAAACCTTTCTGTTAAAGACCATCACCTGTGTGTTTAGTAATCATCATAAACCCGGCATTGCCCACCCAAACCACAACCAACCAAAACCAAAACAACAAAACGCAAACATAACGCTAACACAATTACAAATACAAACGAAAACAAAAACCTAACAACAAACCCAACCACAACCACAAACACCAATACAAACACAAAGAAAAAACAAACAAAAAAGCAAACGAAAACAAAATCCTAACAACAAACCCAACCACAAACACCAATACCAACAAAAAAAAAAACAACGAAAAAGCAAACGAAAACAAACCAAATCCAAACGCAAAACCAACCAAAAACACAAATACAAACCCAAAGAAAAAAACACAAACAAAAACGAAAAAAGAAAGAACAAAAACGAACCAAATCCAAACGCAACCACTAACGCAAACCCACCTAAACACAAAGAAAACACTAACGCGAACATAAACGCCCGGGGCGGAATCACCTGTTTTAGCTTAATGAACGACTATAGTACCCCAACTTATTCATAGTCTTTTGCACTCACTTAAACGAACGCGCCTGTTTCAATTTGATGAACAATTATAATACTCCAAGCTTATCCGTAAAATACCTACAACGTTTGCACTTGATCAATCCCCGCTAATTATGTAATTATTTTTTTTCCCAACACCAAAACAAAGTAATTGAAAAGTAAATTCTTTTCCACAAAATGCAATGGTTTTATAAAGGGAAGTAATTGTGTTTTCCTAATTTATCAAAGGGAAGTAAATGCTATAGGACTAAATAAAGACATAATTAGAATTGTTGTAAAAGATGATATTTTTTTAAAACTTATGTTGAATGAACATGCCGACAATTATTACTATAATTTGAAAAATGAAAATTATTTCCCAACACTTTCAATAGTAATTTTTTAACTCATAAATTTAGACAAATGCGCACGATAATTGTCTAACACTTAAATCCATCCAAGACCAACGACAAACATATGCATTACATACAGAACTGAGCTTTATATATTAGATTCAATCTCGGGATAACAATACATAAACACCCCGGGTTTAACAATACTCTAGGGTAAACTCAACTTACACTCTCCCCTAATTCTTGATTATTCTAACCTATTTCTATGTAACCTACAACTGACCCATAACACCCTCCCCCTACGAGTGTGACGTCATTTATGGACTACCCCTTATACAATGTTGAAAGCAAAACCAACCCATACTTTATATTTACTAGACAATATTTATAATCAAAACCATAACTAACCTAACTCTTCATCCAAAGCACAATCTAACACAACTCCAAGCTAATATATCAACGCGTATGATTATAATAAACATACATCTAACATAGATCATCACTATCTAATCTGAACATTAATTAAACTAAATTAAACTAAACTAAACTAAACTTAACTGAATTAAATAAAATTAGAATATGTAATCTATAGTAATATATAGACTGCCTCTAACACACAATTAGATTAATTGTAACTCCAAGCGAACCCTAACCCGCCTAACACAACACCAACAGAGATTTTAACTTTAATATTTTATAAATCGCCACCGAACTTCAAATTAGGATTTCCCCACCCCCTCACGCTAGAAGTGCGACAACACTTAGAATGCCATACAGATTTTCCTTCTTTTCATTTTATTAAAAAATAAAAAGATTTCTAAGTTTAAACTTGGTCGGGGACAGAGTTTCTTCCAGGCATCTCTTGAGGAGGGGATGCAAAATTGATAGTTCGTCCTGGGCACCGAAATAGATCGCTCAGCCTTTGTATATTAACATGTCTATAGTTTAAATAAACTGGGAGTGATCTCCCCTAAACTTTCTCTAATATTCTTATATAAAACAACAGGGGATGGGAACTCGGGCTATAGACATGATTTTTAATCCATTTTAAATATTTAAAGTTTTAAAAATAGAATAAAATCTCGTAGACAAAAGAATTACACACCAAGTGAACGCCAAATAAAAAAGTGCATAATAGTGCGCAATATTATTAGTACTTTAAAAATGTACATTAGTTTTTTGAGAAATCGGAAGTAGCGTAAATTACTACTTCCGGGTCAACGGAAATTACTCAAAATTTAACAGAAGGTATAAAATTAGATCTTTTACTCACATGTGAAATTTCATTTATCTATCTGAAATAGTACTCAAGTTATAGGCTTTTGAAAAATTCAAAGTAGAAAAAGTACCACTTCCGGTTATCGGAAATCGCTCAAAAGTTGATACGGATCTACGATTTTGATAAAATACTTATATATGAAATTTCATCAACCTAGCTGTAACGGTACTCAAGTAATCGTGTTTACACACACAGACAGACACACAGACAGACACACAGACATACGGACAGGATTGCAAAGCCCAGTTTTTCAGAATGGATTACGCATAAAACCTCTTAATTTTGAAAAATCTGGATTGATAATTTTTGCCCGATTAAAATAAGTCCTCTATACTTCGGATGTGATGAAGGACTGAGGTGTAATACGGTGATAATTGTTAAAATTTCAAGAGATTTTTTTGCACGATTACAATACTTTCTCTATACTTCGTATATACGAGAAAGTAAAAATGTAATCAAAATTATTAATCATGAGGTACCTTTTACTGATGGTGATTACACATTTTTGCGCCCCCCCCCCCCTATGGATAGTGCCCTTATAGGTAGCGCCGGCCCTGCCAGTGTTTCTTCCAAATTTTTTTTCACCGGAGGGGGGGGGGGGGGGGAGCGGACACTGGTAAAAATATGTTTTCTATATAAAACGACAGAAAAAAAACGAGGAATCAAGTTAAATAAAAGCTTGTAAAAATGCCCTTAACTGTGTTTTTAAATGAGATTTCAGTTTTTGTATAAATTAAAAAACAAGTTAATAAAAAGTCTAGTGACAATTTAAGCGCAATTTCCTTATGTTAATAAGTAAATCATCCTATAAATATAAACTCCTACACGATGATCAGTTTAAACCACACGAGCAGAGCTGGTCCCCGCCCCCTCGCGAGATCTGCGCGAGTCTGGCCAATGGCAGCGTGTGTAGACGTTACCTCTCACTAGCGACTGCCTCAGCCGGTGTGCTTGGTTTGGGTGGTAGAAATATTTGTATATTCTTAGTAATCTTAGCCAATACAAATTAGAAGAAATTAATTTTTTGTGACCGAACGAAAGGATATTTTTGAAAACTTTCTTCGGCAATATTGTTCTAAATTATGGCAGGAATCGATTGGTAAATGTTTCAAGTCGCTAAGTGGTCTGGTTGCCGAGATATGGGCAAAAAACAGCATTTTTTCCCGAGGTTTTTTGGCTTTTCCGGGAAATCCAGGAAGGAATTCTGTGAATTTTTTGGGCCTATGTTCATCCTCGGAACTTGCTTAACATATTTGCTTTGGAACTAGTCCTCGATATTGCTTCGTTGAGGAGGAGATACGACTTAAACCAGACCACTTAGCGACTTGAAACATTTACCAATCGATTCCTGCCATAATTTAGAACAATATTGCCGAAGAAAGTTTTCAAAAATATCCTTTCGTTCGGTCACAAATTTTTTTTTGAATTAATTAAAATTTGGACCGAATTAGTAGGCATGTTTATCCAACCACACCACACGCGTCATCACGTTCAATAGCTGCGCCATCACGTTCAATGGCTGCGTCATCACGTTCAGTAGCTAGGCGCGCAATGGTTTTTAGTCATGTAACTCTATTGTAAATAAAACATGTAAAATACTGAAAAAAAAATAATAATAAACGTTTTAATAACTAACCAATGGTTTTACTAACCCTGCTCTTGATTTACGCTACGACAGAGCTATTTTTAGATAACATAAGGAAATTGCGCTAAAATTGTCACTAGACTTTTTAATTACCTTGTTGTTGTTTTTTTTGAAATTGCGCTATTAATTTTTCTTTTTTTGAAATTGCGCTAAAAAACGAACAAAAATAATATTTGTTTTATTTCAGTATTTCTTGTTCCTGTTCATATTTTTGACATTTTTTTCCCGTACAGTATTAACATTTTAAAATAAAGATGGCACCTAATCCCAGCAGTCTTCTCGACTAATTTATTAATTTATTATTATTTTTATTTTAGGCCAAGGCTATTCCCAACTGTCATTTCATGCTAAATACGACTGTGAATAATATCTTAAAATAATAAAAGCATTTATTGTGACTGGGGAGTAAGGAATAGATTAAGAAAGCAGTGCTATTTTTATTTTGTTAATGTTAGCCTATATTTTTATAAATAAATAGGCCTAAGTTAGGTAATCTATCGTTTTGGGTACGTAAAATCGCCCGCGATTTGTAATGTGAAAAACAGGTGACTCCTTAAATTTTAATAATTATTTCACATTTTGAGGAGGATTTATGTTTTAAAAATTCAAAAATGTTTCCTTGATTCATTTATGTACCTGTTTTTAAACAATTGAATTAAAACTTTTCCGTAATAAATGAAGACTAGCGATGTTTCCAACAGATGCAACCATGCTCATTTACTATAGCAGCCATCTTGTCTAAGTTTTATTTTTATAAGCTTTAGCGCCAGATTCAGGGGGAAGCCACTCTATTTTACAAATGGCTGCCGTTTATATAGCAAATCTTGCTCTCAGACACTGCTGTTTAAAGTTAATTTCTGGCCTATATCGATATATTTAGCCATTGATTTAGGTTTATTATTCATTTATCTATAATATTTGACACAAAAGTATGACAATATACTTCTATTAAAGCCTTGACAATGAGGTAACGTTTTCGTACATAAATAGCCGCGGGCGATTTTACGTACCCAAAACGATAGATTACCCTAAGTTATATTACTTAGAATCTATATTATTTTTAATATTTTATTATCTGGCACTTGCATGGTAATATTCATTCAGGATGATTTTAGTTACCGATGTCTGATAATACTATTAATAGACTCATCCATAAAATAGGTGTGTTGGGTTGTTAGTAGTATTCTCGACTAATTTTATTATTATTGTAGGCCAAGCCTTGGCAAGGCTATTCCCAGCCAACTGTGAATAGCCCCAATGGCCCAATACGGCTATTTGCAGTCTGCTGTGATTTCATGCTAAATAAATACGACTGTGAATAATATCTTAAAATAATAAAAGCATTTATTGTGACTGGGGAGTGAGGTATAGATTAAGAGTAAGACTAATTAAGAGAGCAGTGCTATTTTTATTTTATTATATTTTTATAAAAAAGTTATTACAGTTAAAGTCGGTTAAAGTTAAGTTAAGCTTTTAGTTTAGGCTCACAACAGACATATCTGTACAGGCTATGTACTTAGTACGTAGGTCATAGATGATCAATTATGCACTCTAAATCTATACACTAGAATAATAGTAATAGATCTAGTAATTTTTAAATAAATATTAGTAGGCCTATTATAGTCCTACTAATTAAGCATCAGTTTAGTTGGTTGTTCACAATGCTATTCAACTATCAATTACCATTAAAAATTCATATTATCACATAGAATAAATATCAGGTGAAATGGGATGTACCTTTTCATCAGCTATAATATAATTCACAGTTTCCATCACACTTTTCTGTTTTTTTCTTTTAACAAAAATCTACGGGACAGGTCTTTTTTTATTTTATTTTTTTTTTTGCTGATATGCCAACAATCACATCACAAAAGAAAAAAAATTAGCAAAAATAACCCTTCCATGAGTAGCTCAAGTAACTGTTAAAAAAATATTTTGTTAATAAGATTAAAAGACATACATTAAGGGTCATTGCAATATGACATCTGATGGATTTGAACCTGCACCTTCTGGCATGACAGCCACTCCCCATGACTGCTCGACTACACATCTTCATGCTCAGTTGGGTATTTTTAACATTAAATCTATCAAAATGGCCACGACCGTGAAGAGCTTCAATACAGCTATTCACAGTCGACTGTTAATAGACACTTCGATTATTTTATGATTAGAAATGTAAGGCCTATGGCGTAAGGTAGGACTAACTACTCATAGTAACTAACGAGGGTTAGGGCTAAGGACAGCGTTAGCATTGATATTAGCCAGTAATCTAAGCCACAGTTTGTAACTTACTAGATCAAGAAAAGATCTAGCGGCTGTAACTATAAACACAGCCGATGCTCGCTATCTCTCCTTTGTTACAGTTCCAATATTTTCAATAGGCCCTACTTTTACAAAATTTTAATTTCTATGAATTTATTAACACTGTATTATTAAACATCTAGATCTATTCTTGATCTGCACACAAATCATGATGAAATTAAAGGAAAACAATTTATTTAAATGTTTCTTGCTTGAAAGACTATCACTGAAAGTCAGTGATAGTGAAAGAGTAGTGATAGCTTACAACATGATTTCCTATTTTGCCCATTCACATTGGTCTGCCACAGAAAGCTCCCTCCTTAACATTGTATTAAAAGCTATATACATAAGTAAATAATAAGATAAAAGTCTAGGATTAGTGTTGATTCAATATTTTTATGTTAATCTAGTCTATTTACTATTCAAAGTGTCTATTTCCAGTCAACTGTTGAACTGGGAATAGCAGTAATAAGGCTATTCACAGTAATGACTGTTTTGTTTTATATATGGATGCCACGTGATATAGACCACCTGTTGTCCAAATTGTATTTTTTGCAATTGTTAATTTTTAATTTTTTTTCTTTCTGTTTGTGACATGATTGCTTACATATTTGCAGATAGAAAGCCCTGGTTGATTAGTATAGATTTAGTTAGAGTCTATAATTGATCACTGAGACTAAGACCTCCATACTACGCAGCACATATGAACTAAAGGCTAAACTAAAAATATTTTTTTTTTTTTATAAAACAATAACACGTAATTGATACTTCATTCCCCAGTCACAATAAATGCTTTTGTTATCGTAAAATATTAGGCCTATTCCCAGTCGTATTTAGCAAAAATGACAGCTGACTGTGAATAGCAGTGGATGCTATTCCTAGTCTGCTGGAAATAACCCAAATAGTGCTATTCTCAACCAGGTGAGAATAACCTTGGCCTTTACTATTTAGTCTCTAACTTGAAAAACAAATGCTACATGCAATAGCTGAATGTAAATAATTGAATTAAAGAATTATTTTTTTTTTGCAAACATGTTCCAAGCAGACAATGTTATTGAAAAAGTCGCTAAATGTAGACTATGTTTTGTGGCAGCAATTTTTTTTTAATAACTTACAGGCCTAGAAGAATCATGGGGAACTAATGAGAAGCTATGTAATTTTTTTTGCTCAATTGTTTGTGCACCTAAAAAGCCTTGTTATAATGTACAAAAAAGACAAACAGATCACATGACCGTTTGCCATGCAAGTATATTTTTAGGAATTACTAATATTTTTTTAGATACTTGAATAATGTATTAAATGGAAATACTTATTTTATAGCCACCAACAATAGATAAAATACATCATTTTTATATCCTCTTACATCTTGAGGTTATATTTTGCTTCTATTTGTAGGCTTACATATTTTTAGAATTTTTTAATTGAAGTGTATATTTTAGAATTATTAAGAGAGGTTTGTTTAATTTTATATATTATTATTATTTTTACTATTTATTTCGAGCACTGCATGGTAGAATGGCTAGTGTGAAGAAATATCAAGTATGCGTTTTACACTTGAAACCTGTTTTGAGTTTTTTTGTTATTAGTGCTAATGACGTAAGTATTTTATTTCTCTAATGCATTATATACTTTAAGTTTAGGGTCAAGGGTTGGATTGAGGGTTAATGGCTAAGTTAAAAAAAAGGTCAGGGCTAGAAATTGTCTAAGAAAGTAGCATTAATTTTTTTCAATACAAATATTAAGAATTTTAGCTGAATTAATGAAACAAGTATCTTTTGACATATAAAAATAAAATGAGATCATTTGTCCGTGAGATATTTTGTCTGAGATATTTTGTCTGAGATCATTTGTCCTGAGATCATTTGTCATGGAACCCCTTGGCATTACTGGCAATCTGTTTTTAGATCACATCAGACTGAGTGAAAAGATTAACTGACCTTCTGCCATTAATTTTGCCATTTTAATAATAATACTTTATTCTGACTTTATAATCACCAATTTTCACTTTAACTTTTTAATCATCAGTTGATTTATAAAAAAGCAGTCAAGAATGGAAGAGGAAACAGAGCATTTAGCTGCAATGTTATCTATTGTAGATGAACAGTCACACAAATTAACAGAATTTTTAAACTCTGAAGATTTGAAACCAGATCTATCAACAATATTTTCATCTTCTCAAGATATAAAAACAGAATTTACAACATTTTCATCTATTGTTGATGCAAAACCCAACATGACATTCACAGCTTCTCAAGATGTTAAACCCTATACTACAACAGAATTTTTAAACTCTGAAGATTTGAAACCAGATCTATCAACAATATTTTCACCTTCTCAAGATATAGAAACAGAATTTACAACATTTTCATCTATTGTTGATGCAAAACCCAACATGACATTCACAGCTTCTCAAGATGTTAAACCCTATACTACAACAGAATTTTTAAACTCTGAAGATTTGAAACCAGATCTATCAACAATATTTTCACCTTCTCAAGATATAGAAACAGAATTTACAACATTTTCATCTATTGTTGATGCAAAACCCAACATGACATTCACAGCTTCTCAAGATGTTAAACCCTATACTACAACAGAATTTTTAAACTCTGAAGATTTGAAACCAGATCTATCAACAATATTTTCATCTTCTAAAGACATAAAAACAGAATTTACAACATTTTCATCTATGGTTGATGCAAAACCCAACATGACATTCACAGCTTCTCAAGATGTTAAACCCTATACTACAACAGAATTTTCATCTTCTAAAGACACAGAAACAGAATTTTCAAGTTTTTCATCTTTTGATAAATTTACACCCAACAATTCATTTATAAGCTTGCAAGATGTTAAACCTGATGTTACAACTGAGTTTTTAATTTGGAAAGATAAAAAGCCTACTGTATCAACATTATCAACATCTGAAGATAACAAATCAGAAGTCACAACTTTATCAAGTAGTAAAGATTCAAAACCAGATTTATTGACAGGATTTTTATTTTTTGAGGATAAACAACAAAAAGGGCTTGAACTTCAAGTTGAAGAAAATCTCCAGTTTTCTAGAGACAAAAGATATCAGATTGTTTCTAGTCAAAAATACAAATGGTTTTCTCAAAGTTCTAACTTAAAAAAACATAAAACAGGTCAAGAAGGAAATGAGCAAGTTGAATATGATGGTGGCCATGAGAATCTTTCTCAAAGCTGTAATTTCAGTAAAAATAAAAAAGACCACTCAAGAGATAAGCAATACATATGTGATATTTGTAATAAAAGGTTTTCTTATCGATGTAGAATATATACACATGTGAAAATGCATTTAGGAGATAAGCCACATAAATGTGATGTTTGTCATAAAAGGTACAGTAACATTTTTAGTTTAAGTAGACACAAAAGAATTCATTCAGGAGAAAAGCCATATGAATGTGATATTAGTCATAAAAAGTTTAGTCTGAAGATAAATTTATCAAATTACAAAAATGTTCATTCAGAAGATAAGCCATATGAATGTGATGTTTGTCATAAAATTTTTTCTCAAAATTCTAGTTTAAGAATACATAAAAAGATTCATTCAGGAGAAAGGCCACATGAGTGTGATGTTTGCCATAAAAGGTTTTCTCAAAGTTCTAATTTATTAAGTCATAAAAAGGTTCATTCAGGAGAAAAGCCACATAAATGTGGGGTTTGCCTGAAACAGTTTGCATCTAATTATAATTTAAGTGCACATAAAAAAGTTCATTCAGGAGATAAGCCACATGAATGTGATGTTTGTCATAAAAAGTTTAGTCAGAAGATAAATTTATTACATCACAAAAATGTTCATTCAGAAGATAAGCCAATTGAATGTGATGTTTGTCATAAAAAGTTTTCTCAAAAATATAGTTTAAAAAAACATAAAAAGGTTCATTCAGGAGAAAGGCCACATGAATGTGATGTTTGTCAGAAAAGGTTTTCTCAAAGTTCTAATTTAATAGCACATAAAAAGGTTCATTCAGGAGATAAACCCTATGAATGTGATGTTTGTCATAAAAGGTTTTCTCAAAGTTCTAATTTAAGAAAACACGAAAAGGTTCATTCAGGAGAAAGGCCACATGAATGTGATATTTGTTATAAAAGGTTTTCTCACAGTTTTAATTTATTAAGACATAAAAAGATTCATTCAGGGGAAAGGCTACAAGAATGTAATGTTTGACATCCAAGGTTTTATCAAATTTCTTGTTTATCTTCACACACAAAAAAATTCATTAATAGAGACCACATATGTGTTCTTACAGCATATAAGCCATTTGTCTGTATTAAAGATTTTCTCAAAGTTCTTATTTAAGTGCACTTGAAAAAGTCATTCAAGAGACAAGCCACATTAATCTGGTATTTGTCATAAAAGATTTTCCCAAAGTTCATTTAGGAGATAAGCCACATGAAAGTGATGTTTGTCAAAAAAAAATTATGTTGAAGGTAAATTTATCACATCACTAAAATGTTCATTCAAGAGATTAGCCATATGAATGTGATGTTTGTCATAGAAAGTTTTCTCAAAGTTCTGATTTAAGAAATCATAAAAAGTTTCATTCAGGAGTAATGCCCCATTCATATAATGTTTGGCATAAAAGGTTTTCTCTAATTCTAATTTAAAAAGGCATAAATAGGATCATTCAGGAGAAAGTCCACTTTAATCATGAATGTAATGTTTGCTATAAACAATTTACTCACTATTTTAGTTTAACTACCTATGAAAAAGGTCATACAGGAGATGAGCTACTTGAATGTGATATTTGACATACAAGGTTTTCTAAAATTTCTTGTTTAATCTTCACATAAACATTTTTCTAAAGAGACAAGCCACACGAATGTGATGTTTGTCACAAAAGATTTTGTCAATTATCTAATTTAAATACTCATAAATAATTCATTCTAGAGGTAAGCCAGGAAATTCATCATTACTAAAAACCAATTTAATGTCATTTTTAACATAAATAATTAATTCTAGATCAAATTATTATTGAATATCTTGTTATAATTTGTTTTCTTCACGTAACTTTAACTAGTAGTCATCCATAGTGTATTAATTTTAATATTTGTATTATAAAAAGGTTGTTTTGTCAAAGAGTATACTATATCAATTATTATACATACTCTGAAAAGAAGTTGTATTCTGACTGTAAAAGGAAATAGCATCCTATTATGTCAGCTGCATGTGTACAACTTTTTTCTTTATGTAACCTACTTTTTTGGTGTTATTTTTGTTGAAAGTAAGTTAAGCTATAGCTTTAGAAACCTAGGGTTTTCTTTTTATATCGGCATGGTTTAGCTCAGGTCACACAGTTAATTTGCCTGTTCTTTTCACATTATATAAAATTGACAATTCACATTCATTGAGACAAGGAAGTGAACTAATTATGCTCAAACCAATTACACATATTATTAACAATAACAGAAGCTAACTAAAATAAAACACAAAGTTCAATTCATTTATTTACATTTACTAGATGTTTACAATATATGTAGGCCCTACTGTTACACAATTCTCATTCTTAACTTTACACATTTACACTACTTACAAACAGCTCAGTCACACATACAGCAACATGACAGAATATCAGGTTGACAGGTAAAACAACCTGCATTAGACAAGTACAATGACATCAGGCCAGCAGTCACAGTGGCATCTGGCTAACAGGTACAGTGACATCAAAACTTCTGAGCAGACAATCTTTTTTTATAAACACTTTTTCATCTTTTGCTAAATGTCCTTAATCATTATATTTAGAGGTATAGAATCTCAAATCATATGATCAAACTCTACTGTCTGCAGTGTATAACTCACACAGACCATATGTAAAATCTGGCTACCCAAAATTTTTTTTTTCTAATGTTTGTCCTTGAAATGTATTTATTGTCATCACTAATCCAGATAATATTGTAAATTGAATTGAGATTGACATTTATATGGTAATTTAGTACTTGGGCAGATCTGTACTAAAAATATTAATATTAAGCTACACAGTTTCTACAATAGCATCCCGTCGTATCTGTACAAGTCAAAATAACTATATAGGGCTAGAAGAAGCTCTTGAAGGGATAATGGCTGCTGTTGTGAATAAATGTACCAGGTACTATTGACCAGTGTCTATAAGAGAAAAAAATGGTGGTGGGTTATCTTTACTTATCTACTGGATATGGCCATTTGTAATGCTTGGTTGCTGCATGTTTTGATTAACATGACTGATGAGCTGCCATAAATGGATCAATGAGAATTTAAACGATTAACTGCACAAATGTATTTACGAGAGAAAAGTACAAAAAGTCGTCCAACATCATCACTAGTTCCTACAGTGGATAAAAAAATGATCGTCATAATCCGGAGTAAATTGTCAACTAATTGCATTGTGTTATTTCCCATTGCCGGATGCGCTGGCGATGTGAAAAATGAAAAAAAAAAAAAACTTTGTGATGAGCTTTTGATGACCTTGCTTTGGGCAATTTTACTCCTAATCTGCTCAGTGTACTCGGCTGTGTACACCCTTTACCTTTTTGATTATGTGAATTTCTCTGTATTTTTTGTAATAAATGTTCTAATCTACCCATATATATTATAATAAATAACTATTAAAAGTAATTTTTACATGTAGCTTTCTTTTGGGCGTTAATGGGTTGATTTATTTTTAAAAATACGTATCATTTGTATTCATGCTTAAATAAAGAAAAGGTAAAGCTCACAATTAAACATTGTTGGGTTAAAACCCGAGGCTGGATAAGGACTGGGGTTAGGTTTACTTACTTACTTAATCCTCATCACTCCCTGTGGAGTATAGGGCAACAACAAATCTCCGCCATTCCACCCTGTCCTGGGCGAGCCACTTTAGTTCATGCCAGGTTTTGCCAGTAGCCTGTACTTCTTCTTCCATCTCCCTCCTTCATGTTCCCAGTGGTCTTCCTCTACTTCTCTTTCCGGGTGGGTTCCACTTCAGCGCCATGTTGGGGAGTCTTTTTTTGCTCATGCGTAGGACATGGCCCAGCCATCTCCATCTCCTCGTTCTAATTTCTGAGACAAGGGGTTAGGTTTAGGCCGAGTCTATTGTACTGTTGTTTGGTTAGAACATTATATGTTGTGTTTTTTTTCCCACAATCATGTATTAATAATGTTCTCTTGGGAACATTATTATTAGCGTTTCTTTATAAATGATACCTACGTCGCCACTTCTAGTGTTGTGTTGTGATGCTTTCCATATTTTCATACCAATTAAATAGTGTGCAAATAGGTGATACTTTAGTTATATTCTGAATCTATCTTAGCGTTAGAATCACATTTGTTTTTATATCTTAAAAGACATTTTCTTAAATTGATACTTTGAAAAACATGTGTTTTTACCGAGTAAATATTTACTAAAGATTCAAAAATTAAAATATTTAGTACCACAATTTATTAATATTTCTTTTAATTAACATATACAAATTATTATATTGTTATAGGAAGTGGTATAATATTTATGAAATATCAACAAAATAAATAGATGTTTCTAAGATAAAAAAATAGTGACATGTTTTTCTTTTATTAACTGTTTGTGATATAATAATAGGTACTTCCCTTTAGTAATGTGAGCGGGTGAATGGATGATTTATTTTGTATTATTTTATTGTGTGCGAATCTGTGCGTGGATGTTCTACCGGCTTTTATGTTTATAAGACACAATTTACCATTTTTTTGGTTTAAAGTACTGTTGATTATCAGTGTATTTTATATTTATTTCAGTAAAATATGTATCCCTACCTCCCTTTGTTCTGATTTTTTTTTTCATGATGTACAAAGATAGTTTATGCAGGTACGAATACTCACATAGTTTCACCTTTGCTCTGATATATATATATATAACAATTTATTTACAGTGTTAATAAATTTAGAACAGCATATTTTAATGTCTAAAACTTAATCAAACTTAGAATACATTATTATCATGTAATCGCCTAGTCTAACAGAAGTTAAATTGTGATGAACAAAAAAAACAACAACAAAAAAACATCACATGTAAAACATTATAATGAAGCATGGCAAAATTTCGTAATATATCATTTAATTTTTTAAAAGATTATTGTTTTATATTTCAAAAGCAAATCAATGACACCTCAATAAGAAAACTCAAGCAGAAATTATTACCTCCCCTTAGTTTCATCTAACTCGCGAGTTTAGCCCAAACACACAAGTCAAGAATATATTTTATTAGGAAATACTGTTTATTGCACGTTGTGTTGTGCATAAAATTTGAATTATAGTAAAATGATGTACTGTGTTGTCTTCTTCTTCTTCGTTCTTAATTTTAGTTTTGGAAGGGATCTCCTCCAACACAATTAAGTATACGTGTCAACTGTTTTAGTGCCATTGAGTCCATTGACTCCGATTTCAGCTGCTTTACTTTTTGGATTAGCTTTTGTCCAACCAAGAACAAACTACAAGGCAGCAGTTGTTTGTTTGATTTTGGAGTTTTTTCTCCAGCGAACGAGCCTTATCTGCCTGATTGTTCGAACTCGAGACATTTCGGTTTAGCAACCATGAGCTTTACGACTCGGCATAATGCTGGACATAATATCCCTTCATATGCCAAGGTCGCAAGAAATAGGTAAACTCCACTACTCGATAAACAAATTTTCGAATTTAAAATCAAATAATAGGTAGAATGCGGTCTAAGGTATGTAACAAAGAAAATTCTATTCATATTTAAGAAATGCAGTTGTAAACAGTTGTAATGCAGTTTTTATATTGAATAGCAGTCTACGGTCAAAGGTACGTAATAATGAAAATCCAGACCATCTGAAAAATGTTAAGAGTTATTTACCCTGAAAGGAATTTAACTATTTAATTTAAAATCAGCTTTTTTAATAGTAAAAAGTATTTAACAAAAATAAATAAAAACATAATAATAATACGCAGAGTTACCAAAACAACAGAAAATCTTAAATTAAAATTCAAGATTTTTTGTTGGCTAGTTAACCTATCTTCGAGAGTTGCAGTTACATACCGTTTAAGAAATAATAATAATAATTATTATGCCTATTATGCTAAAAAAAACTAAACTACTACTACTACTACTGCTACCACCACTACTACTACCACCACCACTACTACTACTACTACCAATAATAATAATAATGTAAATAATAATAAAGATAATAATAAAATAATAGTAACAACAATTAGAAAATAATAATCTATAGTTTTGGTTGCTTGTTAATGACCTTACGCGTTTTGAGTTTAAATTTTGCACTAAATATTTCAATACAGCGCAACTGATTTAATAAAGAATATTTTCAGTTACATGTTAATCTAACTTGTTTTACAGCACTAAGGTAGACGGCTTAACAAGTATTAAATTGAGAAAATATTTTACTTTTATTTACTTTTGACCATAGAAAAAAATTATACGAATTAATTAAATACATTTTCTTGATTCGGATATAATTCATCTGAAATTTAAATGAGCTTTATATACGCCTACATTTTCCATATAAAACAAACACAAAATGTAATTATTTGAAAACAGCGCATTTTTGATAAAAGGTACACAACTAGTAAATATAATGTATACTTTTCATGTTGGATATCGAATCTAACTACTAGATCGATACTACTGTACTGGCGTTAAATTAATCACTGCAAAGATTACATACCTTGATAGCGAACTTGTTTTTTTTAATTTTTTATTTTGACAGTTTTGTTGATAGAATCTCGGTTCAGGTTTAACTCTTTGTTAATGTTAAATTACTTTGAAAAGCTAATATAAGAGATAAGCAATAAAATATTATTAGTTATCCAGCAATATGTTTATTTTCAGCATACAATGTTCTCTACAAAGAGGTATAAATATAATGGTACTGTAGAGAAGACAAGGAAGTGCCTGTATTCGAACGCCTCTAAAAACAGCATCAAACTAGCAATGTTATTTTATTTATGAAGATGTCAGTTTGCTTTAAACACATAGCCACACATTTGACTATCAAATACAAACTAAGAAACATTTTTCCCACTTTAGCCTTTATATTCATAGATACATTTTTATATGAAAAATGTAGGCGTATATGTTGCTCTTTTAAGTTTCAGATGAATTATATCCGAATCAAGAAAATGTATTTAATTAATTCGCCTACGGTAATTTCCATTTATAAATTTAAATTAACCAAGAAGGATAACCTATAAATTTGCTCCCAAAAATGGCTAAATGTACAAAGAAATTCATAAATAATTTTAAAAGATACAAAACATCGTTTACCGGGTAAATTAAAACAAAATTACTTTTATTTCTTATAAAAATAATTGTTTAGCCTTTGTTTTGTAATTTTTGATTGTTATCAGGCTCACATTTTAATTGCAAACAGCTAGCTGACTTAAAGAATTGAATTGTAGATATAATGAGAAAGATCATTTTTAAACAATTCATCACATTTTTTTGTGATTGCAACACAACTCTCTGTGTAGCTCGGTTGCCTTTTACTAAAGATTTCCACGGAAAGGCTAGCGTTATACCAGGGGTCGGCAACCTTTTGAGACGGAAGAGCCAAAAGTTACAATTTTCAAAAATTTTCAGCTTTTAAAGAGCCACTAACATTTTTATTTTAATATAACGATCTTTGATTAGGATATATATATATATATATATATATATACATATATATATATATATTATATATATATATATATATATACATACACACATATATATATATATATATATATATATATATATATATATATATATATATATAAAACAATTTATGTAGTATGTAAGTGTGTGTGTGTCTGTCTGTCTGTCTGTCTGTCTGTCTGTCTTTTATTCATTACGACACCTTTCATCCGATCGCCATGAAACTTTAGGAAGCTGTTGAGAATACTCATGTGGAGATATTTGCGAAAATAAAATGTCAAATTCGCAAATAGAATAGCGAGTGTTTATTGTTTATATTTATTATTATATCGTTCATTACCGAGTGTGCAGGCTAATATTTTTATTAGTTTCAAGAAGAAAATAAAATAATTATTAATATTTGTCCATGGAACTGAAGAGCCGCACCTCGACATCAAAAGAGCCGCATGCGGCTCGCGAGCCGTAGGTTGCCGACCCCTGCGTTATACCATTCAGGTTCGCGGTACTAAGGGAGAGCACTTAACTTCGTAGAGGAAGACGAAAAACTCCTATCTTCAATTCCCAGATCTACCTAGTGTTGTTTCAGTGTGTTTATTTCAACTAGAACTCAATATGTGCTCAGGTCCAAATCAGAGTTGGGATTATCAATGACTTTGGATTTATTTCATCTCTACTTATTTAAACTTGTGTGTATTTCCATTTGGAACCTTGTGTGTGTTATTATTTTTTTCACATTTTATACATTGTAAGTACTATTTTTTTTTTATTTCTTGTGTGTGTTGCCTGGCCACGGGTTGCCTCACGCACAACTATGTCGGAAAAATACATCAAACGGCTATTCCTGCCTAAGTTTGGCATGGCAGGACATGCGCCAAAAACTCTAGAGATTTTCATAGAAGAGGGTTTTTCTTTAGCTACCCTCACAGCTGACGAACTAAAATGAGAGCTATGTATGTTATGTAGCCTATCACCAGCTGAATTTGAAGGTCTGTATAACTACGGGACACTGCGTAAATAGTATGTCAACATTAGATCAAAGGAACTATATGAGAAAATGCACCTAAAAGAATTTCACAGAGATTTGCCACCTGGGGTAACATCCAGATACAGAGTGCAGAGAATAATTGAGAATATCAATAACCCACGCCGATAAATCTGGGCAAAGCGGCATGCTGAAATGGCTGCCTTCCAAGACAAGTGACGATGATATAATGGCGATTCTGAAATCTATTAGCAGTCAGGACTCAACACCAACATTTAAGAGAATAGACCAATCAAATGTGGTCCAATTCACCATATCTCTGGAGAAAGAAGATGTGGAGAGTGTTCCACACTATATTATACTTACAAATGAGGCCAACAAGGAGAGCAGAGTCCTTATAATCCTCAATGGGAGGAGGGTGCAATGTTGCCACTGCAACACAGACAGGCACCTGCCTAAAATGTGTGAGCATTTGAGGACTCGCGCTCTTGACGGCGTCCAGCTAGTAGACAGTACAGGGCAATTGAGCCTTGGGATGCATATGATAAAGAAGAAGTTAGGAAGCATCTAAGTAACAATAAAAATATCTTAAAGCATTGGGACAGTTATGATGTTGACGGAGAAAGACAAAATGAAATGCTTAGAGAAGCAAGGCATAGAGAGGTAGAAGATGCCTTTGGAGAAAATGACCAAACTGAAGCACATCATACTACTGTAGCACCACAGCAAGTTAACGAAAGCGTAGCAGAAACCACCATAGAGGCCGAAGCCACGGAGACAATAGCGACCAGAAATTCCATAGTAACAGGGTCTAAAAAAGATGGGGATCAAGAAAATTTGGAGGCAGTCGACGAAACAATAAATGATATTCTTCAAGATAACACTAGTTCAGAAAACATAACGAAACCGCTAAAGGAAATTAAAAGCTCACAAAGTATATCAGCAACAAAGGTATCAGGTCAACTGTCATATAGTCAAGCAATCAGTTCAAGTAAAAAACAATTACCTACAGTAAAGCCACCTAAAAGGGTCGTGACCAGGGCCCAACGGGATAGCAAACCAGCGGCTGGAAAGTTTGGCGTTAAAGACCACCACCATCCAGCCCTCCAGAAACAGATGTTCGAAAGAAAATAACTCATGCTAACTCTGGCAACATTGAACATCAGGGGGGCTAGGGACAAAACACATTATATAAACAACATAATAAATAAACACAATATAGACATCTTACTTTTACAGGAAACTAACATTGCAACTACAGAAGAAGCAAATAAACTAGATGCATATATCGGTATTAAAAAACTCACTGCACAGTACTGGTTTCAACTGCAGAGGAACCAGTATACTTTGTACATCAGACAAACACAAAATTAAAAGTACATACACGGATAAACAGGGCAGGATAGCTTGCATCACATTGAATATTGATAATATAGAAATAACAATCATCAATATATACGCCCCAACACATAGACAAGAACAAAAACATTTCTACCACACGCTTAATGAACTTATAAATACCGAATACAAAAACAAGACGATACTTTTAGCAGGTGATTTTAATATGGTCATTGATGATACAGACCTAATAGGACAAGATGGCAGGAAAACGAAAAGGCTAAAACACGATAAAGAACAAATTAATACATTAAACAATATAATAAAAACGACAAGCTTAAAAGACACCTACAAGAATACACTAAATTTCAGCGAAACAACGCACTACAGCAGAACACATCATAGCGCAGCTAGGCTAGACAGAATATATGCTCATGAAAGTATAACGGTAAACAAAGTAAAACACCTCGCTCAGACACTTACATTTACAGACCACAAAATAGTTATTGCTCAACTACAAATTAACCCCACTCACAGAACAAAGAATACATATTGGAAACTCAACAACACTCATCTAGAAAATAGCGAATACATCACAGAAATAAGGAAGCTAGCATCAGAATTCACACAGAGAGCATCAAACACACATGCACTAGAGCTCTGGGAAGATTTTAAATATATGGTACGGGAATACTCTATCAAAATAGCAAGGCAAATAAATATAGATAGGAAAATTATGGAAGAACTACTAGACACACAACTAGATACGTTAATCATAATGCATCGCAGTACAAAATTGAAAAAGTAGAATCAGAATTAAACAAAATACAAACACATAGACACAAGGGAGCGCTAATACGTAGTAGAATAGACATGATAGGCAACGAAGACCCCTCCCATTACAACACAATTTTGGAAAAAATATACTACAACAGTAAACAGATATGTAGCATAACAGATGACGACGGGACTATAACAAATGACCTGGAAACTATAAAACGTCAGTTTACTTTATACTATCAAAACCTCTTCAATAAGGAAGATACAGACTATGAAATACAAGAACATTATCTTAATTACACAACAAGGCTAGACAACGATGACTGTACCAAAATCAACGCGCCAATTACTAAAGATGAAATATCCAAAAGACTATAGACGGACTAAAACTAAATAAAGCTCCAGGACCAGACGGACTAACCAATGAATTTTATAAAACCTTAAAAAATGACTTAATACTCATTTTACACGCTACATTTCAAGACATACATGAAAGAGAGGATTGTTTTACAGATTTTAACAGGGCATAAATAACACTCATTCCCAAAAATGATAAGGACAGGACAAAAATTATAAATTACAGACCTATATCTTTACTTAACAGTGATTATAAAATATTGACAAAAACTTTAGTTAAAAAACTCGAAGCTTTCATATCTAAATTAATACACCCCGATCAGCAGAATAGCATACCAGGTAGAAACATACACAACCACACGAACTTAATCAGAGACATCATACATTATAGCACGCAGAAAGACACACAACTAGCGATTCTTAGCATCGACCAACAAAAAGCTTTCGACAGAGTAGATCATACATGGTTAATGAAAACAATAGACGCTTACAACCTAGGATACTATTTTAAAACATGGATAAAAATAATATATAACAATGCACATAGTCATTTATTAATAAAAACAGTGTTACAAGCGCTTTTCACATACAGAAATCAGTTAGACAAGGTTGTCCTTTATCTCCCCTACTATACATCCTAAGCTTAGAACCCCTACTAGAAAACATTAGACAGGACAACTCGATTAAAGGACTGTACATTCCAAACACGGTATGCAAGAAAATACTTGCATACGCAGACGACACTACTTTCTTAGTACAAACAGAAAAAGCAATACAGACTGTAATAGAAAAATTCAGCAACTTTGGGAAGCGGGGGAAAAATAAACGCAAAAAAATCAAAAGTAATGGGTATAGGTAAATGGAAAGGTAAAGATAACTATCACATAGACATAACAATAACTGACAAACTCAGAATTTATGGAATAACCTATTCCAGCGATCCCACAATAAACGACCAAGAAACTTGGACCACACTGAAAAATAAAATAAATAACAATCTGGAAAAATACCAATACTGCAATAGTAGAAACAATAGTTCGCTACGCGCTCAAAAAACGACGCGGCTCTATAGACAAAGGTTTCTCTTTTGGCAGACCATGCTTGGTTAAATATTAAGAATATCTATTTAATGTGAACAAGCAGACAATTATCAGCAGTATTTTAAAGACCTTAGATGTACTTTAATAATTTTAGTGCATCATTTAAATTAACTATAGCCAAATACAATAATGAAATACAAATTACAACTCCCTAAAAGTTAGAGAACTAAAACATGTAAACAAGTAAATATGCGGAGCCTATGTCTGTCACTTACATATTAGGTCGAGTTTAATTGGCTTGTTTCTTAATAACTCATTGTACAAGAAAGTAAACACTATACCATTTAGGCAAAAAAATTAGTCAATCGAATTATGACGAATATTTGCTACACGGGGGTGGAGAATTTGGAGAACATAAGAGAAAAGGGGGCGAGTCAAATTTTTAAACGATGTTGGCTAAAGCGGTTAAATATTTAGACCGCGTAGCTATTTTTAATTTTTAAGTAAAATATCTAAAATGATGAAAAGTTTTAAATCGAATTAAGAAGTAAATGTAGTTGTAGATTTAGGTGTAGGGGTTGGTGTAGATACAGGTGAGGTTGTAAATGTAGGAAATAGTGAAAATAAAGATGTACTTGATGTTGTTTTTGTAGCTGTAAAGTTGTGAGTGTAAGTGTAGGTGTCGATGTGTGGGTAATACGTAATGCGATAAGGGACGACCGGCCAAAGTCGGAATTAGTAGATCATAAGCAGATTATTTTATGCCGTAAGGATAATGAAATTAAGTTTTTATTGATTATTAATTAAAGTAAATGACAGAAACATTCAAATATTTGTATTGTACTATAGTCGCAAACAATCAATATTATCATTTGTTACAACAAGTTGAACTTTTATGGCATTTAGAATTACATAGTAGCTTGTTATTTTCACACTTGCAGCGATTTGTTGTGCACTTAGCTGTGCAATTGCAGCGAGTGTAGCCTTGGCCCCCAGTCAATGATTGTGAAGATGCGATGGTTCGTAGTGATTTTCCTCAGTGCCAACTGACGATATTAAGAGCAGTTTTTCGTGAAGAATTGAAAACTCACTTCTAGCATACAGTTATTTTAGAGCACCATGGTCCGGGGGGGGGGGGGGGGCGGTAAAAAATTTTCGGGGGGTTTTACCCCCCCCCCCCCCCGAAGAGATGCATGGAAGAAACTCTGACCGCGACCTCTGTCAACATCTGTTATATGGATGCGTACATTGTCAGCATCTTTAAATTTTGTATTTGATGTTTTAAGCATCTTAGCACCTTGAGTTTGCAAGCTAGTATGAGCTGCTGACCTGTGTTCCATGATGTCTTGTTTGTTGTGACATAATCTGCAGGTAATATTTCTGACGCCCTAGCCATCTCAAGTCGCTTGGACACTACTGTTCAACTTACAAGGAACGCGGCAAAGTCTTTTGAACGTTCCGTCTTGTTGCACGTGGTCGGTGACGCCGACTGTCTTTGATTTTGTTCTTTGATGATTGTCATCATGGAGGAGGCTATCACATACAGTTGTAGCCCATATATGGAAAGTAACATGGATTTACATTTTTTTCTTTTGACAAGCATCTGCTATGTCTGTCTCATGGTCTGACGGCCCTTTTGATCCATGTCGCCTTGCATATAGAAATGCTATACAAACAAGAGCTAAACAATACGTTACTCACAATGAAACCGCACCCAGAATAATGAAAACGCGATCACAACTTAGTCTAGATAGAACATTGGCCAGGACATCCCGGCCAGTGCGCGCATTGGCCGGCCAATGTACAAAATACGCTGTCAAGTTTAAGTGCTTCGGAATTTGGCCAGTACGTCCCGAAATACGATCCTAGTGCTAAGTTCTTCGGACTTTGGCCAAGAGAGCCGGCCAATGCGCGCATTTGCCGGCCAATCCGCGCTTAGGCCACACTTCGGGCTTTGACCGTAACACACACACACATATATATATATATATACATATATATATATATATATATACATATATATATATATATATATATTTATATATATATATATATATATATATATATATATATATATATATATATATATATATATATATATATATATATATATATATATATATATATATATATATACATCTGTTTACTAGAAACTGAATTCATAATGCATATATACATGTACTATATAAAAATAATGTATTTATTTACATTTATAATATATTAAGTCTTTAAATAAAGATAAAACTTATATTTCAAAACTTTAACAATATTATTTCAGTAAACAATTTTCCCGTGATAATTTAACATGAAAAATATTGTTCTCATGTTGTTACAATTAATTTATAGAATATAATCATATTTATACTCCAATATGCTAGCTGAACATTTGTCCAACAAACAATCTCAATAATATTCGTGTTAGTTTAGGGACATCTCTCATCGTACAGCCAACTTTACACATCCAATGCCTTTTATATGCCAAACTTCTTTTGTGACACGAAATAAACATGTCACGTGGATCCCAGTCTTTCCGCTTACATACCAGCTCGAATATCACCGTTGACATGAATTAATGTAATAAACGCAAACAAATAAGCAAATTATCGTGGCCTATCGGGATTTTCAAACTACAAAATGAAATTCCATGATGAACGGCAATATAAATATTCCAGTACAATTCAAACCGCCTTTTCTTCATTTAAAGAACCTCATCACCATTTCTACTTTGGAGTCCAAGAATAAACGTATCGTTTTTCAACAGCCAGTCGGCTGTTGGTCTTTCTTTTGCTTCTCTGTGTAAAACCTTGTCTAAAAATTCTCTTAAGTAAACTGATGATGTTGGAGGAAGTTGGTAACGAAGCTCCCCCATCGATGTTCTAAACAGGGCTTGCGCTGAAATCAAGGAGGAGTTGGGTGGTTTTCCTGTCAACATCTCTATAACAGTGCAGCCAACACTCCTGTAGAAAAAATAATCCTAGTTGTAAGCATTTTAAAGGGTAAAAAACAACACATATTGATAGCAGCGTGACTATTGAAAACCCTTGTCGCTTTTAATTCGTCAATAGCAGAGATATAATACTCGATAGAAGGTAAAAGAAAAAGTCACAGGAAATAAAGTCACAGGAAAAAATCACAACATTTGTAATTGTATGATAATTGTCAATACTATAATATCAAACATCAAGTCCCCAAATATGGTATAAACATGAAGCAGGACGTTGCTTAATTTACGAATGTTTATTTTTTTACATTGAGATTTTTTAAATATCATTTTGCGGCTTTATTTTCATACAACGTAACCACGGTTAAAAGTTTAACACAATATGTTGTCTACAAGTGACGTTAGACTTTGAAAATGGCAGTGAAAATTGTAATAAACTGAATATTTTACATTTTAGTTTGTGTTGACTACAATACAGAATCGTGCAAGAAAACTTACACGAACTTCAAATACGACTAAAACAGCTGAAGATATTTGTTTTCATGGTTCGTTAAAAATTAACATTACATCAAAGTAAAAGAAACATTGTATACCAAATATCAGCCCTGCTGGTGTATTTTATTATCTTGCCGCCTTCCGTGTAAATCACTTCTGGAGCCATATATCGTACTGTTCCTATCTCTGTTGCCACTCCCTCCTCATCAATATATTCAGAAATTCCAAAATCAGTTAACTTTATGTTCATGTCGTCTACCATTAAGATGTTGTTACCTAACGATTTATTAAGGAAAGAAAATATGCTATATATATTTATTAGTTTTAGATACAGTTTTTGTATTAAGTAAATTAAAAACAATTCATAAACCAAATATTTGGAAGGTTATTTAAAAATAATGCAATTGTATTGCATTTTCTGTTTAATTAATTTTTAAATACCTTTTATATCCCTATGCAGTATGCGTTTTTGATGAAGGTAATCGACACCCTCCAAAATTTGAAACGTAAAATCTCGAGTCAACGTTTCATTAAGATTGCCTTTTAGACAGATAAAAGATGCAAGGGTTCCCTAATAAAATTGTAAGAAATATATTAATTTTAGTATTTGCGTATTTTTTGGTATTCAAAAATACTAATTTATCAGAAATAATTTTATTTACTTATCAAAATTGTTCTTCCGTTTAGAAATAGTTATTGATTTTTACTATAGTAAAATGTTTATAATTTGATATAATTATATTTAGAGAATATATCACAATACAGTTTATATACAGAGCGCGAAAATTTCGACTATGTATAAAATTAACATGTATATCATCTGAACTCAGAATATGATTATTAAAAACAATTTGGTAAAAGTAAAGACTCTTTTTAAATAATTGTGTACATTTTTAATAAACTCCAAAAAAATGAAAAATGTATCTGTTTTCCTCTGATAACCATGAAATTGAACGATTCGTTTGTGCTTTGTCTTTAAAAGAATCTCTGCCTCTTTTTTACAGACTTCCTGTAATAAAATGTAATAATATATATATTAAATAATGTGTAACTACTTGTAAGGATACGGTAAATTAATTTTATGTTATATTCGTTTTATTTAATTTAAAACGTACATTTTTATGTGTATGCTTACATTGAAACATACAATACAAACATTCTGTCTATAACTTTAGTAAAAATTTTAATTAAGAGAAAGAAATTTTTGCATATGCGTAACCGGAATTGGAAATTTACTCTATGTTCGTGTAAACACGATCAATTGAGTACTGTTTACATTAGGATGACGAAATTTCAAATATAAGTATAATATATATCATACTTTGATTATTATACAATTCTAAGTGATCTTACTAATTCAAAAGTGGTACTTTATTCCATTTCTGGTTTCTAAAAAAAAAAATAAGATAATACAGTACTTTCAGTAAGCTGGATTTTGAGTGATTTCCCTTGTCAAAAGATAGTACGTTACTGAATTTCCGATTTCTTTTATACTTTTCACGAACATAAGCTTTGGTAACAAAGTGGACAGTAACATAAAATGTTATTTAAATGCGCAAGAAAAATCACTGAAATTTTGATTGTTCGTTATAGTGGGATTCATGCTATTTTGGATTATTTCTCGATTTTTTAAATTCATAAGGTAAAAATAATAAAATTTTTTAAAATTTATACGTCTAATTTTTTTGATGGGTTTGTGTCTAATCTTTTAACGCAATTTTGACCCCCTTTCGTTTAAACTTTCCAGATACGTTTCATTTTAATGACAATAAAGTCTACATATTGTTTAATTTAATTAGATGTTTGATTGGTTATGGAACCATTTTGAATTTAAGGGGAGATTACAAAATTAAATCACCTGATAGATTATTGAATAACAGAAAGCAAGATAACTACGATATACGCGATCACCCTAAAAGTCTAATGAGCTGTGGTTCAATAGAATATTTATTTCGCGAACTTATGATGGTTTTTTAATCAAATATCTTTAGTCGTGTTGACTTCATACATTGGAATGTCAATAAAGTAGAAGATACAACAAATATGAAAAACCTTAAAGGCAACAAGCATTTAAACGCACTGAAAATAAGAAAATAAATCATAAAACCTTTGCTCGCTAACATATGTAAATGATCTTATGAGCGATCAAAGATTTTATTAAAGAAAGCAAATTTGTTTTATTTCCTTTCTGAAATGTAAACAATTGCATTGTTTCAGTTTTACCATCTCTTTAGTAAAGTAAATTCTTTTGGCGACAAATTTATTATCATCAGGTTTACTTGTATCTCTGACAAGATGTACACTACCAAACGTTCCTTGACCTAACGGTTCAACTTCAACTGTAAACTCTTTTGGGAAATCAAGAGACACGACTCTTTCTGTTTTAGAAAAAAAAGGAATGTATATACATGTATGCAATTTAATTATTTAAATAACTGTATTTAACCTCGGCATTCGTTGATATTTTATGATGTATTTTATTGCTGCCATGAGTTATTTTGCAATTTGCGAATTTAAATTATCAAGAGTTAATTTAATGTAAAATCAAATGCAATTCTAATACCCGCATTATTTGGAAAACATCCAGCTGTTTGTCCTGCATTCCAAAAAATAGAAGTGACATCTTCAGAAATATCGATGTTTCCAGAACTATCCAGCTTTGACAAACTGTCTGTGAGACCTTCGTTTTGTATTATTTGCTGGCTGGCCACCTTATCTATAGTCATCTCTTTTAATAAGTCCATTACATGCTGCAGCTGCTCATGATCGTTATCAGCAAGGACATCTTTCAATGTGTCGAGTAAAGAAATAATCTGTGTCAGGATATAATTAACATTAAAGCTAAATAACCTGTTTTTCGTTATTTACTTTTAATTAGCAGAGCGGTCCAAACACGTAGCAGAAATATATCAGAAGGATTTCATCAACGTGTTACCAATTCTTAGTAGTGTTCCTAAAACTGAGTTATTTAAATTTAAATAATTTTTTTGCGTGGTAATCATATTTATTGGGGCACGGGTTTACCTTGAGTGTAATCACTCACTGTAATATTGAGGTAAAACACAAGTCGGTGAACGCCCAGGTGTCAATGACGTAGAAGGGTGCTTACTTGAGCCCCCAATTACACTACCGCAGGGACGCAGCTCCATAAAACATACGTAGTAGCAATGGTGCTCACATGATGACACAGGGCGCCAAAGAGCACTCTGCGTTGTGCCTGCCGATGTGCTTAATTGGTCGAGTCGGTAAAGCTCATGGTTGCTAAACCGTAAAGTCTCGAGTTCGAACCCGCGGGCAGATGAGGCTCGTTAGCTGGGGACAGCCACTCTTCTAGGAGAGACAACTCCAAATCAAACAACTGCTGCCTTGTAGTTTGTTCTTGGTTGGACAAAGGCTATGGAAGCAAATAAAAAAAAAGCAGGCTGAAATCGGAGTCAATAGCCTCAATGACGCAAAACCAGTTGACACGTAATCCTTAATTGTGATGGAAACATGGTCGAGTCGGCAAAGCTCTTGGTTGATAAATTCAAAAAAAAAGTCTCGAGTTCAAACCCTCTGGCAGATAAGGCTCGATCCCTCCCAACACTAAAAATTAAGAACGAAGTGAACAACTATAAATACCCCCACCTCCATTTTATCGCACTGTTTAAAACAAACAAAGGCGACATAGTGCTCACGGAAAAGCATTGGGCGCCAAGTCGCACTCTTTTTTCCCCACGGAAATTTTTCGAGTATTCGTGCCAACTCCCCAAAGTTTTATTGCACTCGGATAAACGGTGTCGAACAGCATCCGGCTTTTAATTTTTATAAAACCATATGTCGCATCTTCCCGGAGCACCTTTGCAAAACACCAACTACCAATGTTTTATTGCGATTGGATGAACGGTGTCAATCCGTAATCGTCTTTTATTTTTATAATCCTGTATTTAGAGAAGAATCGAATCGCGCCCTGACGTGTTTGAATGTTATCAGAGTATTGCAAGGGTACAAGCGTATAAGAATTTGCGTTGTATAATAATTTTAATTAATAAAAATTACGACGGTGTGACGCGTGAACTTTGAGAATAGTATGGTTGTTTTCTTGGGAATAAGTTTAGTGCAGTTGTTGTGCTAAGAAGTTGAAATATGCTACCGTCGTCATTAATTTTGTTCAGTCATCATTTGATTTAGTCATCTTTCAAGTCATCCTTATTGGTATTGTCATTGTCAGGTTAATTTAATTTCAAACATAATTAAAACAGCAAAGGTTTAGTGTCACTCGATGGTTTATGCACCGTAATAATATTGTCTCGCATCTTAAAAATTTGTTGATATGAATAGGCAGTTCATTTTTAAATTGCTGCTTTTTATCGGAATAATTTTACTTTGCATGTCTTTAATTTTAGAAAATAAGCCAATTGCAATGCAAGCCTTGAAATTATAACTTAGTGATTCAACTATCAGTTATTGATTTAGCTATAGTTACCAAGCTGTTTAATGCACAAGTGGAGTAATCCCAATAAATTACGGGCTAAAATTAAAATCGTTCAGTCTATATAGACGAATTCATATACAACATAATAATTTTAAGAAATTTCCTCAAAACGTTAGAGATGTGGATGCTTTTGTTAGAATATTGTTTGAGACACCATATCTCAGCCGTAAATCCATAATGTATACATTAAAATTTGTAACCAATAAGCTATCAATAAATTAAATATATCCCAGTGCCATGTGATAAATATGGCTTAATGAAATTTGGATTCTCGCTTTTTGAATTGTTTAACACATTTTTGACAAAAGCTATATTACTTTTTTAAAAAAGTTTTTTCTCTGCAGTATAATTATTAAACTTTTTGACAATATTTTTTAATTTTTCCTCCTCAGATTTTTTTTTATTTTTAAAACTAATTTTTCCCCAAGTTATCAAAATTTAAGAAATGTATTTTTTGGTTTACTTAAATATCGTACTATGTATTTAAAACAGGCGCGTGTCGAATACTAACGCTTTTAAAGTTATTTTAAAAGATATTGTTAGTACGTCTATTCATATATTTTCCCCATAAATTGGCACAACGTTTCTAAAACAATTTATTTAATAATATGTTATAGTGTACACGATGACTTATTAAGACCTGAAAAAGATATGCCAACTAAAGTATAGCTCGGACACAAATAACAGAATGAAAATGGATTTATGTGGGGGCAGTTACAATATGCCACTATAATGGTGATGATGATCAAAAAATAAAATATAGTAAAGAGAAGGTCTCCAATACAAAAGAAGGAACAGCATATGGTGACCGAACCCTCAAACGAATGATAAAGTTGTAAACATCCATTTTTTCATAGACGAGGGTAAATGTTTTGACCAGACGGAAAAACTATTGGTCAGTCTTTACTTGCTTGCAAGTGCTAAAATCTAAAAAATATGCCAAAATTGCAAAAATACGCCAATGTAGAAACACTGTGTTAATTGCAGAGGTCGTAGATAGACCCCAGGGGTAATCAAAAATTGGTCTTATCTTCTTGAAAATCCGGATAACATTTATAACTGACAAGAGGCCATATTCCCTTATATAAATATGTCAATTAAAAAAAAGTACACAATTATCCGCATGTATAAGCCCAATCGTTGTTGCTGATGGTCTTTTAAAATAAAATAAAAATGGAGCCATTAACTAAATAATAAATTTAATAAAATGTTTGAGATATTTCATCGACGAAGCATGTGAAGTTTTGATTATTTTAGTATTCTCATTATTCTAGTGTTTTAGTGGCACGCAATTCATCTGTTATTCAAAAAGGAAAAAAACCGTTTAGACTTAAACACTACTTAACATCTGATCATCAATATCATTGGTGTTAAGTAATAAAAAACAACTATTCTTAGTTATTTAACGTAGGACTACATGTTAGAACAAACAGACCTGAGGAAAAATAAGGAAATTTCTTGGTTACTTATGATTAAAATATTCATGTTCCGTTTAAGTTATGGGTATTGAAATAGCAGTAGTGCTAATTTTGGCGAAACTAGGCTGCATTGAAATGTGCACTTTGTTACAGTGGATGCAAGATTATTCTACTGCTTGATTTAATAAATAAAATGAAACATAATAATGCGCATTCGTAGACTCTGTGTGTTTTTAATACAGGCGATTTCAAGTGTTATGTAACGAGTTATATAATACTTTGTGTTAATGTGTCGCACACTAATGTGTATGTTTATAACGTAAGATAGTGATATAACAAAAAAAAGAAAAATATGAATACCTCTAAGCGAGCCTGTGGATGTTTAGCAAATTTTGGAAGTGCTTGAAGTAACTCAGAAATATGAAAGCCCCCGTATGTTCTACTTGGATTTGCTGAAGCTTGTTTGATGTAATCAATAGCAGTTTTGATTTCATCTTTTATAATGCATTGCAAAAAAAAGTGTATACATTATTATAAAACAAAAGTATGCTTGCAAGTAATTTTATTAAAATAATTATCGTCATAAATAGTTGAATATACCATTTGTTGTAACTACAATATCTGAATCTGCAACAATCAGTGAGAGCAACATCTTCTGAATGAGTGAAGTACGGACGTGAGGAAGGCTTATATTCTTCAGTGCCTGCATAAACATGTGTTGGTTTTCAAATTAAATGTGAAAGGAAATGCATTTTAAACATAAGGTGAAAATAAATATGCCGACCTTTATTAAAAGTTTTAATCCTATTGTTAATATAATGTAAAAACTATGTGACACTTTTCATTCGTTCAAAGGTCATATTCTTAACACCCGAACGTTATTTTTTTTACTGTTAATTTTACAACAAAATAAAAAAAAATAATCTCAATTCAGTATGGTCTTTTAATGTTATTCTAAAACCATGATAAGTCAGACATTTACAAACAAAAGGCATACAAATTAGACATTCGATGAAAGTGTAACCAGTGTTGTACAATAAGATTTCCCTCTATTGAAGATACAATCAGAAAAAGTACCGCTTGGCTCATTCCTTCATAATCCGATTCTCTTGACGCCAAAATAATTTTACAATGTAAATGATATGACAAGCAACAGAAAAATAAATATTGTGTAATCCTATTTTAAGTAACAAACATTCTAGCAAAAACACACCATCGCTTCTGCTAACTTGTTGCTGACAAAGTCTTCCGACAGTTATGAAAAAAAATCGTACACAATGGTTTTTATATCATCATCTCAAGGGATGGAAGACATGATATGCTCTCGGCCACGACAGTACGTAATAATTAGTCAATTTATATTGTTATATATGGATGGGCGGTTTCACAGGTCGAAGCGCTGTGTTATAATAGGAAACAAATTGCTGGCTCTAGTCCGACCCCAAGATAAAAAATAATTTGTTTTTGACTTTATTTTAAGTTAAGTAAACTTACATAATATGCTTCGGTTTTGTGGCTATGTAGCCACTAGTTTCTTTCTATGTTTAGTTGAACCTTCGTTGGTAATATTACACACGGGGCTATAACATAAGCAATGTAACATGTAATGTAGTATATTTCTATTCCCGAGACAAGACGATGTACCGAATACCCGAGACTCTACCCAACGGCCGGCTGATGGTAGGAGTGGCAAGTTTGTTTTCATTGTGAAGAGAAGCAAGAAGTATTTTTCTCCCGCTCTTTTTAATAATTCTTTAGTGCTTTATGTTAAATTATCTTTACAAAACATATATTTAAATAAACAAGCTATTAGAAGCAAAGAGGGATAACTTAAGAACTCGTGTAGTTGGACAACACGCGACTGATCGAAACGGATAGCTGTAGGCTTGTATCCTAATTAGATAAAACGGTACCTTATTAAGTTAGAAGTATTACTAAGTCAGTCTGGTACTATATAGTTTATGTTTTATGATATCCAATTAGTATATTATAAAATCAAAATTGATCCTTAACTGAATACTAAATCCATAGTTGTTTCTCAATAAAAAAAATCACTCTAAATACCCCATTAATCATTTTAGAAAGAGTAAACTAATATTACACTTGTTTTAAACTCAGCTGAATGCTACAATAAAAGTACATCAACAGACACGGACACGTTTAAGTCTCAAACTAACGTCTAAAATAATAAAGAATGTTTATTAGTCACTTGTTATACATTTATCCTAATGTAATCCGGCACTTATTATTTGAGACTATATAATAAATCTTACTTACACTTGTTAATCTTTCAAAAGAAACCGATCCCGTTGCTTCTTTTCTTCGAGCGATGTTGTGTAAAATATATATCAGTTGTTTAATTACGTATAACCACTGTGAATTCTGTAAATAATTGGTAACATTACTTTCTCAAAATACTATTTACTATGAATACATACTATAAATTTAAGTTTTTTTAATCACTGCTAAAGCTCAGCTAAAACTTTTAGGTGTAGACGTATTTTGTTCAGAGACTTGTAGACGACTTTTGCTTTAATTTTATGAAGTAAAACAATCGAGTCTGACTATACTTGAACGATATTTCTTTCTTATTGTAAGCATGTTGTATGGAAGTAATTGCCCTAAAATAATATCTACTTTAAAAGAAACAGTTATTAAATAGAGGAAAGAGGAACTTATGCTTATAAGTATTGAACGAATAAAGGGTGGTGATTAAAATAATTAATTTAGATATGAAAAAGAAAATAAGTAGATACAAAGAAGACACACGTCATTATACAAACATTATTTTAACGTGACGTGAGTCCATACTTTACTCATAGATTTATTTAAAAGCAAGGAGAGAAATTCATTTTATTACATATTATACATGACAATGTCATTTCAATGTAAACGATATTTTAAGTGATCATGTGTACATTCTGGCATATCATGCGAGGAAATAACACAGGAACGCGTGCGTCTTTTGTGGTAATGCAAATATCTCTTGGACATTTAGTATTGCCATATTCGCATGTAAGACGACTCCAATAATGATCATGTTTTTTTTCTCTGCGCGAACTGTTTTTACTTCTGTGTGCTGCTAGGTAAAGTTTATAACAGACTGCATATTAATTTATTCATAAATTCAATATGCAAAATCAAATAATAATAGTTAGTTCACCTGTTATTAGACCCAGCCACTTGAATCTGTGTCTAAATATACTTGTAAAACTTGACTTACTTTTATTTGACCAGTTAAAACGATAATATCGGTGAAGATACCCACTGCACCATGTAGAGCCAACGTCTGAAAAAGATGGTGTATATATATATATATATATATATATATATATATATATATATATATATATATATATATATATATATATATATATATATATATATATATATATATATATATATATATATATATATATATATATATATATATATATATATATATATATATATATATTTATATATATATGTATATGAAACGTTCAGTTAAAGTTACTAGGCATCTTTGCGGGCGACCCGGCAATGTTGCAGTTTGTCGCTTTGGGCTATCCCGTGAGCTCTATGGCACCAACTTTAATCTTTAACAGTGCAACAGGGTATAATTGTCGTTCTATAAACATAATCAGGCGCGTTAGTGAGCTTTGGCGACGAGCTATCCCGTTAGCGCGTTGGCGCCTACATTTGTTTAAATAGTGCGATACACTATGGATAAGATGGGGCGTTTTAGTGGTTAACTAAATTTAATCAGGCAAGTGCGCCTGAACAGGCAATTTAGTGCCCCGTCTATTCTTTGAGCTCCATGGCTAAAGACATAATGGGCAGCAATTATCTTTGAGTAAAACGGATCAGGCGCCTACTTTCGTTTTTTAGAGTATGATAGACTAGATACAATATAGTTGCTTAATTTTTTAATGAAAGTATCACCACACAAGTTTAAAATAACAAGACAAATTACACAAACGTAAATCTGTTCAATGAAGCAAGACGCAGCGTTACCTACACTGTGTCATACTGTGTCATAAGCGCTACATAACCACCGCATCGCCGTGGCTAAACAAGGTATTTAAAAAATTAATTAAATGAATGTAAAGATACCACCGCCTACTTCGTATTACATTTTTTAAAGAATTACTGCAATGTCTTAATTTAAAAACAAAAATTAAAAGATACGTTTAAAAAAATTTAAATAAAATGTTTTTACGCTTATAATTTTGTTGATTATCAAAATGTCAAAGGTGAATTGATTTAGAATGTCTGTTAAGTATTCTAATGTATCATAGAATATCAATTTTGTTTTTACAAACGTCTTTGTGGCAAGTTTTTTTGGGGCATTTGTCGATTTGGGGCTTGTGTCGATTGGGGCGTTTGTCACTTTCAGGCAAGTATTAATTTGAGCGTTTTTAGCATACGAGCACGTGTCCATTCGAGCAAAAGGAATTTGGGCAAGTGTCTTTCTGGAGTTTGTAGTAGACCAAATTTTTATGTTCTTAAAAAAATTTAAAGAAAACCATTTAACAAATACTTTTGCAAACTCTGGGCTTGCGTCACTGCCATTTATCAAAAGATTCAGCATATCACGAGTTAAGGAAAGTGAAAAGCTTGGTGCAGTTGGATCTAGTAGATTTTCTTCTTTCAAATATGAAATTGTTATTTCTGTAATAGACAAGAAAATAGCGTTAAAAATTGTTTACTATTTTAATATTGTATTAAAAATCAATAATTATTAAATAATGTTTTACAAAAACAGGAAACAACCAAATTATTGTTAAATACATATAAGTATTTAAATTCATATTGATGTGCTTTTTAAAGCACTTACAATTTAATTCCAACATTAGTGTAACAATAAAAAAAGGCACCATTGATTCTTATGGTCAAACTGCACGTTGAATATTGTTATCCTGTTTTAATGACCTCGGTATATCTAAGAACTTCGTGGCTAGCAATGATCCCAGCCGCCACACTTTTCCCGAAGGTGAGCCTAGATAGTATCAGAGTTAAGTGGTCTCAGGAAGTCGTGCAGTCTCGAGGCCGGAATTTTATCTCGAGACTTTCGGGTTAGCAGTCGAACACTTTGTCACTCAAATACATCGTTCCATAACATTACTTTAATATATATTTCATTCGATCTCGTTGTTACGTTATTTAAGACAATGTATAGAAAACATTATAATATACCTGGATACATATTTTCATGAAGTTTTTTAAATAGAGTATAATGTTTATCCATATAGTTTGCACATATCACATCGTGTATCAAATATAAAGCTTTCTGGTAGATAAAAAAATGTAATAGCTTAAACGTTCCCATGTTGGAATACTCCGCCATTATTTCTGTAGCATAATCCATTAATTCTTCCAATATCTGCGCCTGTAAAATAGAAATATGATTTTTTAAAATTAAATTTAAAATTTAAATAGACGACACCGTTTTTCATTGGTAAACGGTTTGGAGGCTGTATTGTTTATCACATAAAACGTTAAATAATTCCAGCTCCACCGGTTATAAAGTATTATAAAGTATTATAACCGGTTATAAAGTATTATAACCCCAAATGAATCCCCATTCTTAGACCGAAAAGACCATCAAACTCCTTTGGAACAAATATCAAATAAACATTCGAATACTGCTATTTATTTTTAAGTTAGGAAGTAGACATTGTAATACGCCTGACAGAGGCACCAATTTAAAACACACATGCAATATACACGCTATAAAGAGAAATACTCCGTATTCTATATGATATAGAAATTTGGCACTTTTCTGCTTTGTTACAGACAAAAAAACTTCATAACCTACGCGATCCAGATTTTATATAGTTTTTATAGCTGTACGAAATTAGAAAAATGTAAATAAAAAATAAGAAGTAAACGTTGCTAAAAGAAAGTGTGTACTTGGGATGTAGTTGCTTGAGTGGGCACACGTGATTTCTGCCCGCAATACAATGAGCATGCTTGGAGGTGCGTATAGTCACTGTTACGTGTCAGTTGTAGGTTAGACTAGACTAGGATAGAATGATCTAGAATTAGGGGAGAGTGAGTGTGTGAGTTGAGATTACCCTAGAATATTGTTAACCCCGGTGTGTTTGTGTATTGTTATCCCAAGGTCGAATGCGGTATAAAAGCTGGAGTGAATGGTTGTCAGGGGTCAGTTGCTAGCGGTTAGGACGAGGGCTACTTTTGAATATATATTTTTTTGACGGAATTAAAGAAGTGAACATAGTCACGAAGAGTTGTTTTGTCAGAGACAAATTTAATTGAGTGTGTATTTATTACAAACTTGAATATTTTAAAATATTTTAGTATGTGCGAAGGACCAAAAGTTTCAATATTTTTTTTACAAAAATGAATTTTACGCACCCACACAATTTGAAGTTTCACACTTGATCAATTTTATAAGATCTACTTTTTTTAATAATATAGTTGATTATTATATTTTTTAAACAGAAAGTAATGCCTATGTTTTACATAGGGTCTATAGATTATGTATAATTCATGCGTTGTTAAAGTGGATGAGTGAAGAACGATGTAAGCTTTGACGTACATTGCCATATGTGTAAAATGGTGGTGGGTGGCTTTGAAATTTTTCATAGGTGCTATTTTAAAATGTATTTTATTATAAACAAAAAAGGCCGTTTCTGACAATCAACTGTAATACACATGCCACTACAATTTAAAAAAAATGTATTTTACGTTTTACTTACTAAACTGATGAGGAAAACATATTCCAAAAAGTTGCTGTTAGTTTCTAGTCTAAAGTTCGGATCTAAAGTTGTGTGCCGTGGTAATTGAAACAAAAACATCATACTAAGTATGCCCCATATGTCTTGGTCACAAAGGAAAATGATGACGATAAGTACGGCTATTTTTGTTTAAAGACAGGTCATTATAACGCTAACATATGATCACAACAATGAAATTCTTCGCCACGAAATGTATCCGGAAAACATGGCTTACCAAATAAAATCAGTGTAATAAATTGTTTGAATACGTTTATTTATGCGTGAACGTTAGTTACTATAAACATTTTAAGATGAATGCATTGTTGGTTATATTTATAAATAATGAATCGTTCGTTTGCTCTGAGTATGGGAAGAGCTTCAAAATTGTGATTGACTAACATTGTAGGATTATTTTCCATAATCGCGACCAATCCAACAAAGCACCAATGTAACACCCGTGACATACAAGCCCCCCCCCCCCCTCAGATGCCGTGGAACCAGCTTCTCACATTACGGTAGTTTTACATAATTATCCTCCCCTTTAGGCAAATAGTCGGGCTGATGTGGGCTGGAGCATAGTTTTGGAAATCTGGCTAGATGGGTGTCAATGAAATTAAATAGCATTCGTCCTACACAAATACAATACAGTTTAGTTAAGAATTTATACAGCTTAAAATCTTACAGTAAACCAAGGCCCTAACATAATAAAAATCATTCATTTTCATATAAAAATCTTTTTGTCTATGATGATTTCATCAACTCTTTAATTACGGAACTATTTTTTAAATGAAATTTTTTCTCAAACAATGTGTTATTATTTTCTTTTTGGTACACATAAACCATACGTCGAAGGAAATTTAGTTTTGCTATTTTTTAATGGCCCAATTATATATTAGTACTTATAAATGCCCTACATTCTTGACGGTATTTATAACTATATATTAGTATATATAAATACCGTTAGGAATGTAGGGTATTTTAAAAAAATAATTACAAAACAGGAGTAAACTGTATTTTTAAAATAATGACATGGCAATCACAATAAAAATAATTTTTAATAATTTTCACACATAAACACAACTCAAACGTTTTAGACTGGTTTTTCTATGTGAACATATCTTAGACCTTTTTTCTGAATGTACTAAACGCAAAATAATGTGCAGACTTGTCCTACTCCCTTATTCCTTAGTGACAAATTGTTGTCTGTTATTTTTTCTGGTGTGGTAAAAATCTCTGAACATGCTTTTCCTGGAAGCTTCTAGGAAAAATTACAATGAGCCCCGCAAACAAAATAATTTGCAAAAGAAAGCCTATTCATTTAGTACACTACTATGACAGACCTACACTACAGCGTAAAATTCAAAATTAGAAATGATCTCTATGTGTTTAGAACAGGCTTAGTGACTAAGTTTGCACTGTTATAATTTTTTCTTGTCTCTTTAAGTTCCATTGATGTTATTACAACCGAATTTCAGATATTTTAAATATTTATGTTTTCTTTTTCCCCTGCTATGGTTTAGTATACCACTTGGCGACCCCCCAGAAAGCCCTTGGCGACCCCAGTTACCCGGGGACGACCCCGAGTTTGGGAACTCATGTCGTAGGCCGACCCTCGGGGTGGTGGCAAAAAACTATTATATATTCAGGAAAATTACGGAGGGGCTTTAGAAATGACAGGTCCGAATTCTCTAAATAATTATTGTTAATATGGTGAAAAACAATGACTATTTTCAAAACGATGTTTAGGAACTTTAGCTCTGTACACTATAAACTATCGGTTTATCCATAAACCTCTGCTCGCACGGCAAGGGCTAAAAGTAAACACGAGTGAAATTCTCCTTATATGAGCTATATATCGAAAAAAAGTCCCACGTAGGAACCATTTGAAAGCTCTTTGACATGTACATCGTCATTCGGGAATAAGAAAAAAATAATGCTACCCTTGGGAAAATCCAGAAACAATGTTTTAACTGACCAGAGGCCATATTTCCTTATATATAAATAGTACTGTTTTTGTAAAGACAAATATTTGGACGTAATACTTAATCATAATTCATGAGGTCGTAGAAATACCCGCGGCAGCTACTATTAAATAGGCGTTATCTTCGGGAAAATTCCGGATGAGCTTTAGAACTTCTCGGCCAGAATTACCCATTTAAACATTGTAAATTTGGTGAAAAACGATAACTATTTTCAAAACAATGTTTAAAAACTTTGGATCTGTATGTCTGGCTCATTTTTTCCATAAACCTGGGTAAATAATTCGGCCTTATGGATAGACTATCGGTCAGCCTCTGCTTGCAGGCTAGGGCAAAAAAAGATACCACGAGTGAAATTCTCCTTAAATGAGCGATATAAAAAAATTGCCGTTCGATCCCCAATGGTATTTTGTGAGGTTGTAACGAACCTGGCAGGTAACAAAAAACTTTATTTCCGTCTGAAAAAAAAAACATTTGTCCAGATGACGTATTTTCTTATATAAGCATAGCAACTGTTTTTGAAAAAAAAAACAAAGTCTACGTCATTCGTTCATATTACAAGAGAGATAGCTCTGTAAAAATTATTTTCAAGCTATTCTAGACTATTTTAAACACAAACAGAAAATAACGAAGTATATCATCAATTTAAGTAAGATTAGTGTTAAAAAATAAGGATGTATCCTAATTAAATTGTAGTAATTAATTTTAAAAGTCACTGTATATAACTCATGAGTTATAATATTCAGGGAACCTTTGTTGTTTTTATTACCTTTTAAGTAATAAAGATCGAACATTCCAGCAGTTTCTATAAAATTTCCATTCCTGTTTAAAGCTAAGCGCTCCATAGATCAGTCAACCACCAAGTAATTAAGCATTCAAATTCTCAAATGTTTTTTTTTAAACCTAAGTGAAGCTAAGTAATATGCCTGGTAAATATAATAAAAATCTCCTACCTGTTTGTTGTGGGCTAGAACAACACTCCTTACATAACAATCGATGGACCTGTTTATTTAAACAATATATTTAGACACGGTATATGCACTATATACCGACTACCTATGTATTTTTCTGTATTTATTTTTGAAAATCGACATAATAAGAAGTAAAAACTGCAATCTTCGTTCTTATGAAACAATGGCGGAGTCAACCGTGCAGAAAAAAAGTCAGCTTTATGTTTTGTCAGTGTTCGGTGTAATATCTAGACAGTATATCTAGATGTAAGCAGAGAATTAGTGAAATTAGTTTAATTTTTCTAGGGTGTCAATAAATATATTATGCTTCATTGTTAAATAAATTTTATTTTAATTTTATTTGCCGGTTAAAACTAGGAGGAAAAAATGTGCGTCTAATGCATACTGGTGGTATAATTACCCAACGTGTGTACGTTTTACACGCTGCTAAATGTATACTAATTGGTTTATGTGTAAAATATTTGATAAACCAAATCCTGTTAAAGAAGTAATGTATTTCTTTACGTTATTAAAAAGATTTTGCGTTTGCAATTCTTTTCGTTACTTTTTAATGTTTTTCTCAGTTCGCAGTTTTTAATTCTTAACAATCTATTTTTTATACAACGGCCATCATATTATCAGTAATTATTCTTCTTGCAAAAATAAAACTTTTGTCACGAGAAAATTATGATGAGTTTTATAGAAAAAAGTTTTTGGTAA